CAAATTCATTGAAACAGTTTTCAATACACTTTGGTCCTATCCATTCTCCTGTTCAGTTTGGAATATGTTCAAAATCATAGGTGCTAGACTAAGTTATGTAGAGCAGAATTTGAAGTAGGTTTTCACCTACAGCACTGGCTATTAGTAAAACATCTGTTTTGCTGGTAAAACAAAAGGGCACGCATGTGTTAAGTAGGTGCATCCATTCCTTCAATTTTTTGTGAACTGCATCTGAAAATGTTTGCAGTGGGTTTTGAAAGTATTTGTGATCCTGTGTTTAAGTAAAGGAAAACAAGTTCTTATCCAATATATAAACAATCTTTTTATTTAATGAATTCTGTTTGATCTATTAAAGCATAATTGTCATGAGGATAAAGCCTTTGGGGGAAGATTAATATATATTTAGATCATTACAAAATGATCTTTCCCGTATATTATACCTAGCTTGAAAAATAAATTTACAGAAAGAACTGAGTAATACTGCTCTGAAAGCTTATACTTTAAAAAAAAATCAAAACTTTCCCTTGAAGCCTGAAGTAGAGATTATACTGCATACTAAAAGATCCTTTGGTCACAAAGTTCATACTTTTGAATAGGTGACTGTGCTGAAAACATAATTCTGTTTACTGGGAACAGTTTTAAAGCCACAGAAGATGAACAGGAAAAGGACTGAGCTGATATACACATATTCATCTCTCATCTGAGTTGACTTTTTTTCCCATTGTTGTTTATTTGGGTGTATTTTAACTATGCCATGTTGCAAGAGGCCACAATATAAATTATAAGAAGAATGTCTGCAATGCGAAATACCATTTCCTAGAGGCATAGTTTATTTTCATCTTTCAGGATTTGTTTGTGGGTTTTTTAGACATGAATAATTAGTATAAACTTAAAGTAAAACTCAATTAAAAATACAATAATGTGGAACTGAAATAGGTAAGAATTTTTTCTCTCTGTATGCTTTAGAGGGGTTCATCACAGAAATGTCTGAATGTTAACTGTTGTTCCTGTCGTCTTAGTTATTTATTTGTTTGTTGGTGTTCTGTGATTTTCTGAGGTTTTTCCAGGATAAAGTTTTGGATTATTTCATTAACTGTAGATTCCATGAGACTGGAATCCTTCGAGATTTATGATGCACAAATACCTTTATTAATTAACAGAATTAATTTATCAAGAGCATTTCATGAAGGGAGAAAAAGCCTTCTTTTGAAAAGGTAATTAAAATATACATTCTGTAATGAATGGTCTCAGCCTCTATTAAAAGAGGAATTTTTCAGATAAACGTTTAATATTAGGTGATTGTAGGCACTCCAGTAGGATAATAGTGGAATTACGTGACTCCCTAGAAGGACTTTTTTCCCCTGTTCTGGCTCTTTTGCTATTAATTTAAAACAAATATAATAGCTAAAGATACTGTTATTTAATAGGGAATGTTCTTAATTATTTTAAGTGCTATTTTGGGGCATTGTTGCTGTTATCGTGTAAATCTCTGTATAAATCTAATCTGTTTGGAAGTGAACTCATCCATTTCCTGTGTATTTCGGCCCATTTAGAATTTGATCAATTTACAATAATGTGCTTATCTAGAGAAGAGGGTAGTTTTTCGGTGAAAGCGTGCAATAAAACTGGGAACTTGGTAGTACAGACGTGTTTTGGACAGGAGGACAACTACTTGGTTTCTGTCATCATCTTTTCTCTTTAGTTACAATTATACTGGCAGATGATACATTGCCAGAAGTGACTCAGGGGAACTAAGGATAGACTTTCAGTTCACTGTTCAAATTGTACGGGAAACTGATAGTTTCTGACTCCCTCTCAAGGCAGACAGCTACATTGTTTTTCAAAAGATACCAATTCTTTGGCAGGCATTTACCTAAATCAGCACATGCTTAGACTCACAAAATTATCATAGCGAGAGGATTACGTGGACCATAAAGAACATCTATCCTGCTGTTAAATTTTGTCAATGTGAAAATTCTGATCATTTGAGAAAAAGGAACAGCATCTATCATTTTGAGACATCTAACATCACATTTAGACATTAGGAGTAGGTTCTTCTAGAAATGATGTACAGGAGACCACTGAAGATCAATGCAGAGTAATAGGGAGTACAGTAGTTCAAATGGTAATACTTTCATAGGGAAGATTAGCTTCTCAAGACACATGGGGTTTTGAAGGTGAAGACAGCAAATGCTGTTAATAAAGATTATTGGAGAGTTCAGGAAAACTCTCTGAATCAATAAAAATGTTTCTTCATTACTGATTCTGAAGCATCCTTAAGATAAGACAGTCTAGGTAATCTGGGTGTTGGTTTTTTTCAGGTTTGACCTTACAAGGGATTTAATGACCTTTATATAAGCTCAGGCTAAGTGAGAGTCCCAACAGGTCACGGTGTCCTGTAAACTTCATTTTTGGATGAAGTGGAAATGTCCTTCTGCAATCCTGACCTCAATTTCAATAGCTCACTCTAGCAGTTGAAAAGTTAGCACAGCCTGGATCAGAGATAAGCAAAGCAAGCACTGCTGAGGCTGTTAGTCACACCTGCGCGGTGTCGTTTACATGCTTCATCAAGCATGGAACCACGTCAAGCCAATAGCTGTGTACAATTGCTTTAAAAATCTACTGCATCGTTTGAGAAAGAAAGGATGGATATTCTCTTGCTTGCTGAATGGGCCTTTTTTGGTGAATGACGAAGACTTGAACAGTTTGGTTTGGTTTGGTTTTTTGTTTTGGTTTGGTTTTTAGTATGACTGCTCTGAATGTAGGCACTACTAAAGAAATGCTTGATAACTGAAAACAACTAATGGATAAGACTAAAGACTGGTTTGGGGTAACCAATAGGTATGATCAATATGAACAAATAGCATTGGCTCTCTGGCATGTAGAATATTTGGACCCAAGTGCGCTGTGGTCTATTTAGTGTTTACACCTCAAGCAAAGTAATAAGAATTTCCTGCTTGTTTTGGAAGAAGGCTCTAGTCACGGAAAACGCTAAGTCAAAACCGGTGCCAGCTGCTAGAATTCAGCACAGTGCTCCTTATAGCTTTGAGTTACACGTCTGTCGCTTTCCTATGCTTGCAGCAGAACAGGTCTGCACTGCCCTTTATTCAGGCTTAATTGGGATACCAGTCTAACCATAAAGTTTTCACCTGACAAGCAGCTAAATATAGAGACTGCACAGGAGTACCCACATACATAAACATACACTCCATAAGTACTTGGTGGTAATACACCTTTTCCTTAGGAGAACAAGAAAGTCAATGATATTACTGATAAAAATACAGATTTTTTTTTTTTAATTAAAGTTTGAAGATTTTGCCAAACAAGCAATTGTTTTCATCATCTATTTTATACAGCTTTTATCTTAGAATGGGTTTGTGTGAGCTGACACAACACTACAATGCTCAAATTGAAAATCCTATGGTAGAATACTTAGCTGTCTAAAGAAAAAATATTTTTTTATCATGCAGACTTTTTTTTTATTCAAAGAGTTGATCTTGACACTGTTATGCAATAGTATATCCATATGTAGTATCATATCTGTAGCAGCTCATTTTATAACTGTATGAGCACGTAGATAACAATATTAATAGGATTAATATCCCCACTGACTTTTGGTGTTAGTGCTGAACAAATGTTTTAGCAAATAGCTCATTTTAAAAAACGGTAAGCTTCAGGTCTGCTGTCTTTGAATTCAGAAAACGGTTTCTATTCTCATCTCTTTTCTCAAAAGAGATGGAAAAAAGTAGTAAAAATCAAAGTAAGCCTTTCAAAATGAAGCATTTCAGAATTTATACAAGCTTTTTTGAAATAATGAAATTCACAAAAATTTTCATTTATACAGAAAATTGAAAAATCAATTATTGCACATATTGAGGATTTCTCACAGGTACAAAATTATTCACATGCAGATCTGCAGGAGCATGGTTTAACTATGATTGATTGAGCTTGCAGCTTTTCTTATATTTACAAATATCTAAATATCTTAATGATTAAACATTTATAGTAAATCTCCTGTGAAAGTCCAAACCACTAGGCTTTAGAAAGTATACTGTAGGTGGAGTTGTGCAAGCTTCCTTGTGGAGCTGTGCCAGTACAGGGGAATCTGGGTCTGAAAAGTCCTCTTTATTCACATACTGGACTCCTCAAGAGTAGGCTTTTGGCGTGGCAAATGAAAATGAGTTTTCAGAACTTATTCCTCTTTGAAAACAAAACTTGTTTCAAATCTGGTGTCTCTCAGAGAAAATCCAGTGAGCTTAACTCTGTGTTGTCTAGTATCTCTCTACTTGAGAAACCATTCTCCAACGAAGCAGTAGCATTTTTCACTGTCGTGTTCAACAACTTTCAGATTTTTGTATCTTTTCTTTTTAAGATGTTTTCTTAAGTATACAGCTGAGGAGACCAATAACAAAGAGATAAATCCATAGATGATGAAAGGATTTTCCTGAGCTTAGTAGTTAACATAATAGTTTGAAAAGAATTTACAAGTACTTGTTCAAATGCACTATGTAGAGAGTGAATAAAATAAACAGCAAGATGTGTTGTGATAGGAACTCAGATGATCAAAGGGAACTACTGAATAGGCATAGTTATTCTTTCAGATAAAATAAGGAAGTAATTCCTTTGAGAGTTTTTGTGATCATTTCTGTTGGAAAACTTTGTATGCATTACTCGGAAATTCAATGAAGAGAAAAGCAATACAGCCTAGATAATAGTGGCAGCTTTGAGCACGAGGTGGCATGTGGACATAGCTTGAGCTATTTCTCCAAATCATTTGAATGGAAATATTGGATTAGTTAACCTTGTGTCAGGTCTGTTAGTTAAATAAACCCTCCAACTGTTCCTGACTGAAGGATGCATAGTTGTGACTGAAAGATGCTACTGCTTTTCATTAGAATTTTGTCAAACATATCCTGCTAACATAATGATTTTAAAATAAAATGGTTTATTCGATGGAAAAGGATAACAAGCAGAAAATTCATAGCCTTTTCTTTTCACAGGGTGTTTCAGCCCAGTAGGAAATCCTCTTAGCCGAACACTATTGGGTAGACTACAGACGGTAAGGAATTCTATCTTTGCAATTTTTTTTAAATTCATGTTTAACTATAAAATGTCATTATTCACAAGTTCTCATTGTAGAGAGGTTTTTTTTTTTAAATCCTGTCTTTATTCAAAAAGAGGTATCTTCAAGCAAATAAAGTATAAATTGTTCAATCAGTTTTAATGTTCTCCATCATAGCAAGCTCTATAACATTTTTACAGGATTAACTGTTTTGGAAAATACTAAATAGCAGCTAATTTGAAATATTTTTTTTCTGAGAGGGTTAAATTAAGGTTTTTAAACATTTTTGTTACTTTTTCTGTTATAAATGCAGTAATATATGTTATAAGTGCAGGTAAACTGAGTAATTTACATCAAGAAAGTAGTATGTTTACAAATGACAAAATAGTTGAAGAGGTTTTGAATAATTTCAGGAGCTGGAGTATTTCACATACTTCTGAATTGATCTTTTTTCCCCTTTTTTTTCTTTCTTTTTTTTATCCCTGTAGGCTTTACTGCAGCAGCTGTGTTTGCATTTCTGTTTTCTGTTTGTACATTGCAGGTTTCAATAAAGTGCAGCCTGGCACAGTTTTGTTTTTTTTCCTCTAGGCAGATTATAGATTCCCATGCTCATTAAATATTGAAAGGCTGTAATCAAATAAGGATTGTAGTCATCTGAAGCCTAAGGAAGTAACTTTACAGTGTCTACAGACAGATTAATTAAGACCAAAGAAGAGTACATTATTCTTAGCAATTAATACTTTTAGAATAATTTTAATTTAGCTATTAATACTGTCCTTGTACTTCTGTTTCCCATAGACTAAATTTGTACAGTTAGGTGTCCTGAGCTAGGAGTGTGTTGACAATTAATTGGACCAGAGAACAAGAACAGAAATACAACAGCGCTAGCAATATCCAATTATTTTATGCTATGTCTCAGTTTATTTAGCATTTTAGTTAAAACTTCAATTACTGGGGTAAAGAGATTGCATGACATTCTTAGGGAAGGAGAGGATTAAGTAAATTTCTAACCCTCGAATTCATAAGGAAAAATGAAAACAATAGAGCAACTGTAAAAGCTCAGATTGATTCTGTAAAATTTTTAAACGTTTTAAATATTATCTCACTTTTAAGCCAGTCATGGGTTTTTTGAGCACTATAGGTTCATTTCTTATTTTGTCTCCTTCTTTTAAAAAAAAAAAAAGCATAAAACAACAACAACAACAAAACCCGAAAGGTAACAGTCTCAGAACCTAGGCTGTTACACACTGAGGCACAGATTCACTGAACAGACAAGAGAAGTTTGAACACTCATTCCCTGTGTCTTTACTGGAGTGTTTGCACAAGTAATACTCCCCGTTTCTCTTCCATTCTGGCAGATAGCAGGTATAGGGAGGTGGAATGGAGAGAAGCAGTGGCACTGTGCAGCATCCAAGAAATAGATGTTTGTCCTTTATGTCACTGAGTCTGTCACTCTAATGGGAAAAGGAGGGAGGGTGGCTTTGGCCCTGTATGCACACACATTGGGGTTCACTGTGGTATGTGTAGTGTCTGCCCGAGATTAATCTTAGAAAAGCTTATTTTCCAAGTGTAGTTATTAAGAGTTAATGACTAATTAGAAGTGAGTCTTAATCTGTATGTTTGTTCTGTTACAATGAAGTGTGTTTCCATATAAGGAAGAAGCATATGAAACCACTGATAGACTTTACATTTTTCCATATTTTTTCTTTAAAATTTGATATTGTGGTATTTGAAATATATTTGTTCAGTAGTAGAAATGAAATGCTGAAATTTTTACAGAAAAGGCAGTAATAACATATCACTTGTTCTTACTCAGTGCTGCTTCTCCTAAGGAAATGAATGCTGTCTAATGCCCAAATCCCGTTGGCTGCTATACATCTGCATGAATTAAAAGCAAAACCTCCATTACCACAATCACTGAAACTGCCCAATTAAAAAGAAGCCATAAACATTTTAATTAGTGTTGTTATCAGGAATCAGTGACACTTGATACAGCAACTTATTTATCAGCTTACTCTTACCTGCAATGCTCTCTTTTGTATTAGTGTCTTAAAACATTTTGTTTGTTTGTTTTTGTGTTAGAAACGTCAAGGCTATCTAAGTGGGTTAGTCGTGGATAGCCAGCATGATATTCCATGGTCTAGAACTCTGCATCAACTACTGGATCGGTTTATCTTCTGAGGATGTTCCTTACACTGAAAGCCCCTAACAGCTTTGTTCAACCCAAATCAGCGTGACACGGCAGGCTTTTTCAGCAAACATTTTGATCCTGTTTCTCACAGGTGGTCTGACTCCCAAAAAGACCAGCTCCTCAGAACATAACTGTAGCCCCATGTCTGCTGTGATGCAAGAAAAGGCTTAACTAGTTTCCATCTTGCGTTAAAAAAGGGGACATTAATATTGTCTTAAGAACGATGTATTCATACACTTCAGTATGTCTGCCGCTTTTTTGGAATCCTGAAAATGTGGCTTAATCTTGTGACACGATGTTAAAGAAATGATGTTTCTAAACTGAAAGGCCAGTAGTTTTTACTGGGTGTTCCTTGCAGTGTAACTGGTAGTTGGCACCATTTGAGAAACGGCACGGCACGCCAGAGGCAGCTCTGCTGCCTTGCAGTAGCTATGTTTGTGAGTAGCTATGTTTGTGGTAGGCAGCATGGCAATTCCCCTGTCCCGCTGGAGGCAGGGAGCATGTGCAGCCCATGACATAATCGGAGTATCTCTTTAAGAGGGAACTCTTTGGATTGTTGTTGCCTTAAAAGTTTAACCCAGTGTCTGAGAACATTCAACATAGTCTCAGGATGACTCATGGATTTTAGCTTGTTATTTCCAAACAGCTTGCTCTCTTCAAGCTCTTCTTATGTTGAGTGTTTCAGAGCACATAAATACTTTATTAAAAAGAGAGAGAGACAGATTGAGACACAATAATGGGGCAATATGAGTACCTGCACTAGATACCTAAATAATACTGCTAATAATTCTGATGAATCATTTTTGAGCAACAGGAGGCACTCCCATCCCACAGGCTAAGCACGTTGCCTGCACAATTCTCTTAACCTTGAGAATGGAAAATGAGAATTAGCTGAAACCTGTAAGGCAGTGCTAACTACCAGTAGACCACTGAACAAGCCACATACTCTGAACTGCAGCTCCACCAGTCTTTGTTCAAAATTTGTTTATCAAATCAGGCAGTTACTTTTTCCCCCCCCTCCTCTGTGCATGTACATAATTATTCAGAACTCTTTAGGTGGTAGGCTTAGATGTTCTGGTAGATGATAAGAACGGAGTGCAACTGTTAGCTTTTATACTGCGTTCATCTCTGTGTACTGTGTGTGTGTCTGTAACTACTGTGGCAATACCCAAGCAATCTGGAGACTGGATGGAACCTCTGTGTTCAGGGTAATCAGTGAAATCCCATATGGGATAAGCCTAGCTAAGTTAGGAAAACAATGTTGAGGGCAAGAATCTCTGTTCTAGAGAATGCCATTTATTCTGCTGAGAATTGCAGTAATGATGTTCCTTGGATCACCGTAATAAAAAAACAGAAAATAAAAGGAGCAATACATTTTAGATATATATTCTAAAAAAGCAAGAGAAGACAAAGAAGCTCATGCAAAAGACAGTTAAAGGAGGGGCTGTAAAATATGAAAAAGGTGAAGTACGTTGGATAGAAATTATCAAATTTAAATGTTGTTTATAATGTGGTACAATCTGTTATGGGTGGAAATGTTGTTTACTTCACAAAGCTTGCATTTGATTCTTCTGTTTTAATTGCTGTGTAATATTTCTATTCTGCATTGTAGTTTGTATCCTTTGACACACACAAAATCTAGGGGAAACTGGTTTCCCCTCTATGAAAATAGGACATTGAAAAAAATTAAGTAACACCAGCAAAGGACTTCCATCTCTTCCTTTGTTCTAATTTGTTGTTCCTCTGCTACTTTTCATAATTTTTCTGTTCTAGATCTTCTTTCAGCTGAAGAATTCTATTGTTTGACAGAAATCGAATTTTGTAGGTACAGGCACATCCTAATTATTGGGTAATATACCTGCTATTCCTTTGAGTTTTTTGGAAGTCTGAAGAGTAAGTGGTAAAGATAGAACAATTAGAATTAAAAGGAAAGTATTGGTTCTTAAGACCAACCTGAAATTCTCCATTATATGAAAGTGGCATCTTTTGCATACTGGTTCAGAGGTGAAGTTCACTGCACCAACTTCTTAAACATGTACTGTAGTGTTTGCAATGCAAACAAGCTTAGACCGCATAGTCATCAGTCCTCTGTCTTCCCCCATGTTGTCTTTAGTGTAGAGTACATATTTGAAAAACTTAGTATCTTTTTCTAAGTATCTACATAGCCAATATTACTCAGTGTTGCTTAACGTCACTTCTGCTTTTTCTTTTTTTAAAAAAGTATTGTATTACAGATAATTCTTACTGTTTTACAGTAGACATGAAAATACTCAAAATGATAGTTTATCAAAATACTTCATATTGAAGTTTTAAAATAATTTCTTCTTCTAGAATGATGACTGCCTGACTGCACTGGGGGTGAGAGGAGGAAGCAGTTGTCCACTAGGGCAAGAGATGGTAAGTATTATGTAATCTTTTGCAGTATCTTGTATACCTGTTAGACTGTATCTGTGCTTTTGAAAGCACATTCTTTTTTTTAGCATGATCCCAAGGATTTTTTTTGCTACCCTAGGTTTTGTAGTTCTTACAAACATGTTCATAACCACCATAACTACATTACTGCTGATTTTATATCACCCTTGAAAAATAATTTTGTAAAATTTTGATGAATATAGATTTTATTCTTTTTTTTGCTTGAACTTGGACCCAGACAAAATTTAACATGTCTGAATGTCACACTAGAAGAAATTCCATTGCTTTGGGCATAATTGTGAGTGGTTTACATTCTTCTTTGGTCCTGAGGTGCATTTCCTGTATCTCCTTATACTCATTTTCTGATCTCCCCAGAGAATGTAATGGCAATTTCCACATTTCTTTTAAATTGTCAGGCTTGCTTAACCGTTTGTATTACAGGACACATTGGTATTTTAATTTTTTATTTCTAGGAGACAGACAGTGGGACTTGCTTGATTGGTTTGAACTGTTTGTTGGCAGTGTTTCCATGTTACTAAATTTTTGTAATTTTTTCCGAAACCCGAAACATTTGCACTAGACCTATCTTACAAAAGACACTGCAAAAAGAAGTATTTGTTGCTCTGCCGTTCATTGTTTTTCATGCTGCCAAGTAATTAGTGTTACATTCCTCTTTTTTTTTTTTTTTTTTTTTTTTTTTTTTTTTTTTTTGACCTTAAGTGACCAAATGATTTTCACAGTGCTATCACTAAGGAAACCGTTGCCCCTTAACTGAAGTGGGCACTGTTAGAGCACCCCTTACTGGACATGATCATGCAAGCTTCCAGTTCTGTACTGTTTATGTATGGTGCTCTTTAGTATGTTTTAGTTTGGTTCTATTTTATTGTAAAGTTCATATTTCTATACTGTCAACGTCACCTGCAATTACTATATAAGCTTTCCTAATGCAGGGAGGAGAGTTATGATAAAGGATGATATATCATTGTATAGCTTCTTTATAAAAGTTCAGGATTACTGAATGCATATTTAGATAAATTTCCTGTCTTCTGAGAACTATGCTGATACTAAGTCTTTGATGCTGACCAGCTCACAAATTACCACATAGAATTTGCAATGGTAGAATCATTACCATCTTTTCCCATTCATAACTGATCTAATCTGTTTAACTGATGACGTGGAAGTATGAAAATACAAGTGACCTTGGCTATATTTTTACACGCATAACTTGCAGGTTATCTTACTCAAAATAGAAATACAAATATAAAAAGCACTGTGCAGTGCAGTTCAGCAGCTTTAGGATTTAAATGCATGCATGAGTAATAAAAAAAGGAAGTGTTTTCTCCAAATCCCTATCTTCATAGTAACTTTGCTGTCTCCTTCAATCCCCTGTAAGCTTCTATCACTCCTAACGATCCCTGTTTCTGATCTCTTTACTTACAATTTCGTAGAGGGATCTGAGGTCAAGATTATATGTAGGGAAGCAGCGTTCTTTGTGTAAAATAGATCATAATTTTGTTCTTCAGTTATGATGAGGGAAGTGAGCAATTTGCTTGTTCTTTCAGTTCACTTGTTTTCAGTCTTTTCTGCTCTGAATTCATCAAGACAGATTTTTGTTCATAGGGCATAGGAAATAAATGAGAAATTATACTTGATATTTTCATATTCAGGGTAGAAAGTAGGCTTCTGGTAATGTATTCTATGTATGGTGCCGACCGCTATTAGTACTATTTTCCAGAAAAGTATAGATGCACTGTATTTCACTAGCAAATGGATTTATTGTGTGAAATGGAATATAAATGTATTTTTGGCAGATATTTATGAAATTGTATATGTAAATCCTTATTTCTAAACAAAAAAAAAAAGAAAAAGTGAAGTGATCAAAACTTTGCAATGACATTTTTGTACTAAATTTTTCCTTCAGTAAAACTGTCATACTGTTGAAGTATTTATTTGAACACATATGCTTCCATGAGCACACACAGAATGGGATCTGAAGGTGGTGTAACAATTCTAAGAAAGTGAATATATGAAGTGTTTTTTTTTTTCCTTTTGCTTCACAAGTAAATTGCTTATAAAACTAACAGCTGCTGTTTTGAAGCTAATCTTAGTGAATTGAATGTTCTTAACCATTTCTACAATCCCACAGTCCTTTATCTTGCCTCTCCTGCTGCTTTCCCACCACCCCTGATCCCATTAGCAAAACTTGAGACAGCCTCAGCTTTTACCAAAGTGCAGCTTTGGTTTCAGCTGCTTTTCTGCAAGAGGAAGTGAATGTTGCGCTTTTTTCTCTGTGGCATGGTTGTGATAAAGCTGTGGTGCTCTTATCTCTCTTTTAGGTAGTGGCTCTTTATGACTACACAGCGCATCGATCAGATGAGCTAACCATCCATCGCAGTGACATTATCCAAGTGTTATACAAAGATAATGATAACTGGTGGTTTGGCAGCCTAGCAAATGGACAGCAAGGCTATTTTCCAGCTAATTATGTGGCTGGTGAAAGTAAGTTTACTGCTGTCTTCCTGGTATACCGGTGTGGGTCTAACTGATGGTCCAAGATTTTACCATGCTGTACTGCTTATTGTTCTGAAGATATGAATAGATGTAGCATGCAAATAGCATAATGATGACTTATTGTGATGCAGAAATTGTATAAAGTTAGCTAACCACTTAGCAAGTTGACATACCTGACTTAGGAGGGTATTGGCACTTAGTTAAACATTCCAGCTTATATAGTACTGGCTTACTTATCAGTCAACTGGATTGCTTCCTCATCTCTTCTTACGTATAGCCACCTGGTTCATGCCCTACCTTGGCAATGTTTTAGGATGCATCAAAGCATTTCGGAGACATCTTAGGTTTTTCTTAGGCAGTCTCTGTGAGATCTAACCAGTTACTTTTGTAAAAACTTTTTAATTTCCCCCTGCTCTAATAGAAAATGCTCAGTTCCCAAATAAGTGGATTTCAGTATGACATTTTAAAGGAACAGTAACGGTTAAATCTCATATCTAAACATTGAACTTGCTACCAGGTCCTTGTCATTAAAGCAGTTTTGATTAACCTAATACAGACAAACCTAAATGAATCTGAACAAATAATATAGGAAGCATCCTACTGAGTCAACTCATGTAAAGATGCTCAGTGTCCTGACAGTTGTTAGTATTCAGCTTACGGACATAATGTGTGGTCGCATGCTACACGGAATTCATTTGCCTTCCTAAACTATCAAACTATCAGTTATACTGGTGTTTAGAAATCTTTTAACCCAATATTTCTCAAGATGTTTCCCCCCATTTTGTAGTTCCTCCCTCTGTCTTTCAAGTGAAGTCTAGTATTTATGCCTCTTCCCTAAAAAAAACTTGGACATAACACTGTGCTAACTTGATTATGATAATTAAAGTTAGCTTAACTGCTGCCCTTCCCCTTTGCACATCCTGTGCATTTTCTCCTTCCTTTCTTCCTTGCAAAATAAGCCAAAGAGCAGTCTGTAGGAAGAGTCTTCAGTGATGGCCTGTTGTTCTTAAAAAAAAAAAAAAAAAAAAAAAAAAAAATTTGAGGCAGTTATCCAACTATGCAAAAAACCACTGGTATATAGTTTACTATTTCAGTTGGTGACCATCTTATTATTGAATCAAAAGAAATGCATGTGATACATTCGTTAAGTATCAGCTGCATTGCTGTCAGTGTGCACTTTGTTCTTAGTCATGTAAATGTTTGTTTTTATTTTATGTAATTACCTATATAAATTACCTATGTATAAATTAGATTTAATTCTAAGCTTACTAATGTGAATAAAAGTTAATGGGCAAATTTTGATAAATTCTCATACAAAGGTTGGCTTCAAACATTTTTCACCTGTTTCAGTTCACATCCCATTATTGGCTAGATCATAATGTCATGGTTGTTCACATAAAATAGATACTTACATAATTCTTTCATGGCTCTCATAATGGTGAATTATGGATCCTGTTTTCAGAAGAATATGAAGAACAACCTTCAGGATTAGTACCAGGTTCTGCTCGTCTCCTACCTGAAGGACCAAGAGAAGGAGAGGAAGATTCTCCAGCACCACATGAGGTAATAATTTGAGAAGGAAGGATTCTCTAAGTAGTGGTGCATTATGTCCTTTGTGTGCCAGGTAGACTGTATTAATTTTTGATCCTTTTTAGAAAAATTTCTTATGTGTAGACCTCATTCCAGGCAAGCAGTAGATTGTCAGCAGATGCCTAACGTTTGTCTCGTGTGGAACCAGCTGTTCCATCACGTTAATTAAATATTCTGCCTACTCTTTCACCATTGTAATGAGTGGCAAATCTCCCATTGACTCCAGGGTTGACAGAAGTATCTCTCACAGCTACCTGATGTAAATAACAGTTGAAAAAACAACATAGATTTGTCAAAACCTGACATACTTTCAGGCACCTGCCTGTCATTCTTGGAATATGCACTGCCCACAGATTCTTCACATTTTCTGCCATGAAATTTCCTTATTTATCACATTGCTTAGGAAAAAGCTGTGATGTTTTTCTCTTGAGAGTTTTTCAGTCCATGTAATAATATCCTAATTAAAGATATACAATGTGATTGTAAAGCCTTATTACCAGACCCAGGACATATGCTGCATCTAAACGTGCTTACTCGTCAATGATGTTTCTGTTTAAAAGCTGCTGATGGTTCTCTGATGTCAATGACTGCACCCATCCTGTAGGTTGCTCGAGAGGGTCGACTATAGAGACTTCGTAGTTTGGAGGAGCAAAGGAAAAGAAAGGCTTTTGTCTTGACTATATCTGATATCTCTCCACTCCCACTGTATACTTACATGGGGTTGCAATTGCATACAGCATTATGTTGTTGTTTACATATCACATCCTATATTGTATGCAGAAGCACTCCTGTTTCTGTGATTTTAGTTAACAGTCAGAATACAGTATGTACAGAAGAACAAAGAAACAACGGCCATTCTTTTGTCAAGGAAAAAAAACAGGGGGTTGATTTTTATTTTATTTTTTTCATATCTCTAGAGATACTGCTATGTGCAAAGCAGGCCAAATGATTCTCACTTCTCCAGACAGAGATTAGAAACTTTGCATAGCTTATGTTCCCCTCCTGTGAAGTAAGACTGATGATTGTCTTAAAACATGGGATACTTCGTAAGCAAAAAAAAAAAAAACCTGTTAGAATTTAAGATTTTTTTTATTCCAAGGTGTTTGTATCCTTCTTACGTGTGCTTTCCACAGCTATTCCTTTAGTCAAATGGTACTAACATAACTAGATTTCTTTAAAATGACTTGACTTTTCCATGTACTTTTTCTAAAATTGAATCTAATATTTTGCATCTGATTTGCAAGGCTCAAAACATATGCTGTGTTGCTTAGTTACAATTTTTTCTTTTTTCAGATGATTTATGTAGTCTTTGCTGCATAATATATATTGCAATGTTCAAGGTTAAAACACTCAAAGCTACTTCTATTCACCTTTTTTCTATAGCTTTTGTTTTTAATAGGTGAATAGAGATAGGTAGCATTTAATAAATTATTGAGTAGAGATTACTCACTTGGCAGTCTTCTTGAAGCCAGCTGTCCTGTTGAAGTCAACTGCTATAAATCGAATTACTAAGTGTTTTGTTCCTAACTATACTTTAAAAAGAGAATTAATCACTACACCAAGCAGTAATAATTAATCTGAAGTATCTTTTACTTCTTTGTAGCTGAGAAACTCATAGCCAAACCTTTGTCCAAGAAAGACAAGGGTGCATTACTTCCACAAACTTCTGTAAACGCAGACTGGAACAAACATAGGAAAAATTACATTACTGGAAAGCATGAAGATTTCTTTCTTCTGTTGTCTATGTTGCTGGAGGCAAGGAAGGTATCCCAGAGGGAATATGTTGCTATACTCACCCAGTTTCACTCATACCCAGATCAGAAAAGGGAGAAGTGCTGAGGTACTTACTGTCATTAAAGACTTGATCATTTTTATCCACATCTTTTTTTCTGTTTTAATCTAGTAGGAATCTAGTTGATTTACTGGATCAAAATACTTTTATGTGCACTAACTAATGTTACTAACATTTACAACCAGTATTTATTATTCAACTTTTTGAGAAGTAACATTTGATTAGTTTTGATCACTTACATTTTTTCAAGTGTTTATGGTTGACATATTTTTCTAACAATAGTTTTTGTATTACTAGTAGCACTTTTTTAGTAACACTCAGTTTTAGTAATATTTCATCAAAATAGTCTTTACTTTGATTCTACTGGTATTTTGAATTAAATTGCCTGCACATTTAATAATTAGTTGGAATTTTGTAGTAATCTATGTAGTACATACAGATATTCAAAAGGCATAATGAATAAAGTGTGCAGTAACAGTCCAAAACCAAGCAAATATGTTGCTTTTTATCTTGCACGGCATCCAAAGGCACTACAAAATCATATAAGAGTCCACAGAAAAGTAATGAAACATTTACAAGTCCTGGAAAAATGGTATAAGAGGATATACTTACAAGATTAAACTAGCAAAGAATGAGCAGTGAAGAGTGTGTATGAAATAGTACATGATGTAGAGAGGTGAACTGGCTGCACTCTTTTTCCTTTGTTTTTTTTTTTTCCCCTTCTGCTGTTAAACAAGATCAGCGAACATTAAGCTGGAATGGAATACATCCAATACTGGTAGAAGGAAATTTATGTTTATGACGTGCGTAGTTAACCTGGTGAACGTAGCTACTACAAGACACTATTAAACTTACGTGCTCTGGGATTAGTTTTTTTAGTAACACGTTTTAGGCTGAGGTAATGGCTGAGATTTCAAAAACATCTAAATGACTGGGAAACACAAATCTGGCTGATTTTTTTTAATTTCAAGTTACATAAGCACTGTATAAATCACCAAGCAGATAGTGAATTGAATCATATGATGAATCAAATCTCTGTGTAAGACTTGCGATGCCTTGAAGTGTAATGGTTTTACAAAAGCTGCAGAGTGTTGCATAGAAGAAATAAATTGTCATTCAGCTGTTTGTCATAATGAAGGAAAGTTGTACAGCACTTTGGCTTTAGGCAATACCAGATACTTCTGAGACAAAACTGCTAAGACGACCACTGAGGGGGCTGATCGGTTATGGCAGTTCCTGTGTTGCAGCAGTGACACAGCAACTTTTCTTCCTATTCCTTTCATTTTTTTTCAGTATTAGAGCTGATGAAAGCAAATGCCAATTTCTTTTACATGGGGAATAGGAAAAATCCTTATTGTATAATACCCTATGATTTTTTTTTTTCTTTGACAGAAAATGAAGCATGTCTTGTTTTGGTTTTTTTTAATCAAAAAATATTTATCAAATAATTAATTATGTTGTTGCTTAAGTTGTTACCACAAGCAGGAAAATATAACTGAATTTTTTGGTTGTGTTTGGTTTTTGTTCACAAGCATGTCTTTCCAAATACTTAGTTATATCCAGGTCTGCTATATCTGTTGTTCTTTCTGGGTTTTTTTGAGGAATACTTAAATATTTAGCTCTGTTAAGACTGCAAAAACACTGTGAAAATCATCACAGCAGTTACTTGTGAGATTTTGCTACCATATGAGACTAAATAGGGCACTTAAAGTGTAGAATAGTATGGTTTTAATTACTGAGAATACCAGATAGTCTAATTAAAAATAGTTTTCCAACTGCAGATATTATAAATGCATATCTAGCTGATCTTCAGAATTTTATGATGAGTGAATAAAATGGAATCATTAACATTAGAAGAGCGTGTAATGCTCAAGATCCTATATTAATCTTTGCAAATAATAAAAAAAAAGTTGCAGTTCAAAGAACCTGCTTTCAAAATGCTTTCTACCATCAGCTTTGCATTCATAACATAATAATTTTATGCAAACCTTGTTTTCCTGCCTTATGAGTTACTTAACTCCTGAGCCACAAAATTAGGTCATAATCATCTTTAATTACAACATACATCTAAACTGCCAATAGAAATTTCATGGAGTGAAGTTCTCACTGCACTGATGAAGAATCCCAAGAAATAGAGATGGACTTGTCATCTGGCTGCTCCAGTAAATGTGCTGTTTTCAGGTTCCTTAAGATAGGAGTTCAGATAGGGTTCTACTAGAAACCATAATTTGGGTTTTGCAAAATTTTGGCAAATCAGAGACATTTCAAAGTCAGTAGTGTCTCTTTTTTTTGGGCCAGAAATGTTCTGCTGTCTATAAAATCTTGTGAATATGTTTTATAATTTAAGATGGCCTACCACTCACTATACAAAATGCATCTAATTGGATTCTGAATATTAATTACTCAGTTCTACATTATGTGAGAATAGTGGGAAGTAGTAATAGACAAAAACAAAACAGTAATTTAAAATGTCCATTAAAAGTGTAACAAAATATTCTTTCTAGTATATTTATCTTTGAAAAATGATGTTAAGGTGTAAAATAATGATCATAAGCATGAAAAGAAAAGGGTTACCTTCAAGAACTGCATTATCATTTTACAATTTGGATAATCTACCCAGGATCATCAAAACTTGATTCCATGTATATTTAAACAAAGTTTGGGATTATCACTGTTCACATAAATAATTCATGTTCTCACTCTTCTTCCCCTAGAGTAGGTTGTTGTCAGACTTTCTGAATAGTTAGCCTAGCGTGTCTGAAACTAACCTGCCAAGCAATTGATGCTTTTCCCCTGGGCTTGAGCTTTTTTGATGTGGGTTTTTTTGTGGGCTCAAAATTTATTTATTAGATCTGAAAATTTAGAAAGCATAGAAAACTTGCTCAAAAATATTTCCAAAAATACTAGCTAGAAATTTCTCTATTAGTTTCATTAAAAACTTTCATTTTATAGTTTGTACTGTTTCTCTTTTCTCCTTTAATGGTGCCTTTCTTTGGGTTACTGGGGAACACTTCAGTAACTGATTATCTTTTAGGAAGCGGAAGGACTAGGAAGATGTGATAATGTTAATGAGGGAAACGTTAAAGAATTAATACGATGGAACTCTTGCAGCGAGTAGAGCTGAAAACTTTCAACACATCATGAGTGTGTTCATTTTTAAGGTTCAGGCAGGTTGCAGACC